GCTCCCTTGCGAAGAATGTAACAATTCGTGCATGCAATATATGTATAAGTATTTCTTTATTTCTCCACTATAACAAGTCACAAAGTATTCCCCTTTCTATGTAAATCATGTATGCATTTAAAAGCTTATAAGCCTAACAGGGAGGGCGTAATACTTGGAAATAAATTAAACTTTGGATTCCTGACATAAATATTTATAAAAAATAGTCCAGACCTTTCGGAAACAACAAATTTCATTGCCGCAACGAACAATCAATCCAGAATCTACAGATTCAGTACATACATGTACATAAAGTTTACTCTAAATGTACTGGTTCCAGGTCTCATGGAATTCTCATTTCAAAATATTCTGGACAGATGAAACTGTGATGAAATTGTAGTAACCTGGGCTTTAATTTCCCCCATAGCTCATGATCAAAAGTCACTCGCTGATAGAAAATGCCCCTCTTAGACCATACAACAAAGTAAGCGAAAGACAATCCAGTTACACCCATCTGCATCTGTATTTAAAAGTAGTACTGGTGCGAGGTTTTCAGGGATAGCACTCCATCATCATGTTCTCTTAAGCATAATGACGACCACTTTTCTTTAGAGAGCTTTGACTTCGCTTTATTGGGGTCAATATCTTCCAGCACCTTCGGACATTTTATTTCCAGTACACCATATTTATTGCTAGGTTGAGATGGCTGATATATTAATCCATCTGGATCACATCAAGTTCTGGAAAAAGTGGATTTACCCACGTACCAGTCGGTATGACTTTCATATCTGATTCAGTATCTTCCATCAGCTTGATGAAGTCTGTTCTGGCCTGATCTTTATTCCCAATTCCATACTGCATGGCAAATGTTGTTGGGGATTTTTCCCATAGCTTTCTTCTGAGGACATCCATTATTCTTTTATCAGAATTGGCCATGTAAATCTCTCAGCAATTTGGCGCAGTAATACGCAACAATCTCTGGGAGAACCATTCATCAGTACCTTGCTGCTTTACCAACATGTATGGCTGATGAGATCAGTGTTCTCCACGAGGGGTTTAAGAAGGGCGCAGCGCCCCTCTTTAATTTATTTGCGCCCCTCTTCAATTTGTAGCGCCCCTCTATTATTCTTCAGCGCCCTCCTTTGTTTTCGGTGAACAGCTGTTTCACAAGTCCCTGAAGATGTCCCGACGACGTTATTGAGAGACCTCTTATTAATTGACAGGCGATAACACAAAGAACTAAGAGACAGATAGTGGCATAGGTGACAACTAGGACAATGAATTGGATGTCTGGAGAAAAACTGGCTGAATAAATAAACAAAAAAACAATGGCTGGATGTGTGAAGTTATTGTCACAAGCATTGCGTTAATCACGCAATGGGAGAGTCAAAACAAGTTCCCTCATCATTCCTGAATTAGCTTAGATACTTAAGAACAGAAGAACCAGCAACAATTTATTGGTCAATTGCTTGTTACTTGCTTTTTATTGGCGAAAAGTAAAAAATCATCAAATAAGGCCACACTGACTTAGTTTTATCACAGTCCCTCTATCACAGTCCCTCTATCACCGGTCTCGAAACGGCCGCTGTCCTATTGTCCTATTGCGCGTAGCAGGTAAATAAACCATTGACACCTATACGTAATCAGCAGTTGACGCAACTTGTCAGGGGTCATCTTCAAGTTGACCCGCATATTATTACCATTAATGATTTACCCGACATGCTTTGCAAAAAAAATTGTGCGGTTGCGCAGAAGTTTTCAGAACCAGAATCAAAACATTGGAAGTCGATTTTTGAGCAGCATGTCGTGGAAGTACGGAAATGATTTTGTTGGCTTCGAGGACGAAGATATCGATTGGGATTTTGTGATGGGACAGAAAGACTTTTTCCCCTCTAATGCTGCCGATGTTCCAGACGATATGAAAGTACATGTACGCGAATCTGCTAAACGGAGAAATTTCGTCTACGTCTGCCCGACTTGCGACAAGCAGTACAAAAGTTTAAGTGGCTTCAAGGGGCACATGAAAAATGTTCATGATA